TACATTAAAAATACACTTTTTATTTCTTCTTTTCTTCTTTTATTACATCTTTGTGATTTATTATTTTTATATTCTTCTTCTACTTTATTTTTATTCTTTTATATATTTATATTCTTTTTATATTATTTGTTTTTCGTTGTTTTTCTATTTCTTTCTTCTATTATTTATCAATTTTATATTCATTTATTCTTTTTATTTCTTTTTTATTAATTCTTGAGTATTGTATATTTCTTTATTATTTCATTTGTGTATTATCAAAATATATGTTTTATTGATTTTATGTTGAATAAAATATTGAATAAATCAATATTTTCAATGTTAAATATTCAATATTTATTCTGAAATGTTGTGTATATTTATTATATTAAATTAATATGATGAATGAATATCAATATTATTGTTTATTTGATTTTAAAAAATAATAAATGAATATGAAATAATGAAATAAAATAATGAAGACAATGAAATGATAATGAAATGATAATGAAATGATAATGAAATAGAATAATCTAATATTGAACAAATCAAATAAAGAATATATTGAATATATCATTATTGTTACATTATTATTTGTTATTTCAATTATTAAATATTAATACATTATTATTTATGAATATTTAATTGATATTTTACAATTTCATTTTCATTTTATTTAATAAATGAAATATAAATAATAAATGAATGAATAATAATTTAATATATGAAATAATAAAAAGAAAAGATAAATAATAAAGAAATATGATGTATTTAATATATAATATAAATTATTATCAAATATAATAATAATATCAAATGATGAATTATTTTTATTTCAAAATATTTTGCATCAATAAATTTTGCACTTTTTTTATTGCACTTTTTTATTTGTTTCAATAAAATTTGCATCCTTTATTTTTTTCATTCTATTCTTCTTTTATCATCTCTTTTGTTTTATTACACTTTATCTTCTTTCTTTTTATATTCTCTCCTTTCTACTTTTATTCTTTCTTCATCATATCAAACTTCTTACTTTATTTTTATTCTTTTATATCATTCATTCTCTTCTTTTTCAATTATTTGCTTTTTTCGTTGCCATTTCATTCAAATTATAGGAGGATTTCTTCTTTATTACCAATTTTCTCTATCACTACTTTTTCAATTTCTTCATTTCTCTTTGTCCTTTCTTCAACTATGTTTTACAATTTCTATTCTTTTGTCTTTCTTTACTTGTCTTTTATTATAATATCTTTTATTATAATTTTTCCTTTGTTTTGATTATTCTCATAATATTATTGATTAAACATTCCATTTGTATTATGGTATTTGTTTTTATACTAATTACTTTGATTTTTATTATATTTGTGTTTAAATAAGTATCGATTATAGTAATTATTAATATGACAAAATGTAATAACATGACTTTGAATATTGTTTTGTTTGATAATGATTATATTTATATCTATGACAATTTCATATAAATTTATTTGTTGGTACAATTATTTCTATGTTATTTTCATAACGTTGTTGTGATGTAGAAATATGTCTTAATTGATAAGTAAGAATAAAATAAATAAACATAAAAACGATAAATACTTTTTAATATTTAAGCTTATGATTGATATTATGTTAATTATTTCCATCACAATTAAACATATTCATAAGTCTAATATGTATCGATGATGTGACAGAGCTGATCTCTACAGAGTAAAAAACAATAAATAACTCATGTTAATACTTTCATTTTCTATTTTCTAAAAAATAAAAATATTATTGAAGTATTGATGATATTTACTATTTTCATTAAAATGCTGTATTTTTACCAGATGGAAGTTGTTGTTTTAATGTGGGTGTGGTGCATTAATTGACCTCTAAGTTTGCTTGTAAAATAATAACTTAGTTTGTCTTTAACAATAGTAATAAATTTTTTTGAGTAAGAGTTGAGTTAATATTTCTATTCAACAATAATACAAAATGTAACTTAATAACATTATTTTATTTCAAAAAATAAATAACTATTGTATTCTGAATAACAGAAAAGGGAAATTATAGGAGAAAACAAGAAATCAATTAAGCAGTAAGTTCGCAAGCACCTCCAACAGCCTTAATCTTTTGTTGAGCTTTTTCACTGAAATATCTAGCTCTGACAATAACTGGTTGTTTTGGAAGGAATCCTTTACCAAGAACCTTGAAATAACCATGTTTTACACAGTCAATAACTGGAACTTCTTCTCCTACTTTAGCATTTTTGTATTGTGCTTGAATATCTTTACCAACAAGGCTCCATAATGAATCTACATTGATACTTGGACAATAGTATTTATTAGCTTTAAGATGGAATACTCTCATTCCATGTTTTCCAAAGTAGTCTGGATGGAATGTAGTGAACCATGTCTTTCTGTGGTGTTGTCCACCAGCATTTCCTCTTCCTCCTCTTTGTTTTCTATGTTTTCCAATACGACCATAACCCATTGAAACATGTCCTCTTCTTCTACGAGTTTGTCTGAATCTTGTTGCCTAAAGAATTAAGTAATTGAAACAATTATTTCATTGAAACAAATTTGAAATAAAGAGGTAATAAACAAACCATTGATTCCTTTGTTTTTAAAAGTTCTTTTTTCTTTATAACCCTACAACTATTTTATTATAAATTAACTATATTTTTATTATTATTTAGTTAATAAGTAATAGTATTAATTATTATAGTAAATTAAATTATAATAGATAACTAATAGTTAAATTGAAAAAAAAACAACTTTACCTCTTTCCTTCATACCATTTATCTTTTATATGTGATATTAAGTTATCACAAAGACTCTTTGCTTTTAAAAGTGCAATGGGGACCTTAGAAACAATAACAAAATGTAATGGCTTAATAGAATCATTATAAACTTCCTCAGAACCACTACCTTTAACCAAGAGTTGCACTCCAGTTTTTTTTTCAATATATTGAATGTTCTGATGATCTTTTCCAATAATTTTTTTATAGAATAATATTTTATCTTCTTCATTTTTAAATGGTGGTGGATAAATTTCTATTGTTAATGTTCCATTAAGAATTTCATTGATTGCATTTACTCCACGATTTAGTTCTTTTTCAGTATCTCCTCTGACTAATAAATATAATGGAATTTGACCACATTTATTAATATACGTTGAAGAGTCATCTGGATCAAATTCCTTTTCTTCAAATTGTGGTTGATAATTTCCTTTAACACAAACAAGTATATTATATTCTTTTTGAAGATGTTTATGAGTTGATGTTTTGAGTAAACAAGTTCTTAATGTTTGATCTAAGTGATTGATACAAATATTCTTAGAATATTCAAAAGTTCCTTTTTTTTGTTGTGCTAAAAGATCTTCTAAATCATTACTTCCTATAGTTGCAATAGCAACTTTTTGAGGAACAACTATTAGTGCTTGTGTTGGATCAGAAATTGCAATTGAAATATTTTGACCTTTTTCTTTTAATAATTTAAGAAAGTCCTCATTAACAACATCCCATTTTTTTTTTGGTTTCTTTTCTTCATGAATCTTATCAGTCACTGACATTCGCTTGTTTATTTTTATAGTTCTTTTTATTAATTTTTCTTTTTGTAATAAAAAAATATACATAGTTTAACATGAAAAATCTTAACATAACTTCATATGTTTTTCTATGAACCACACTTCCTTTTGCTTTTTTTTTACACATTCATAACAATATTTTTGAACAAATACAATAATATAACATCATTTGTTATTTGTCAAATTGTCCTTCCATTTCTTCTCAAAATTTTTATCTTTGTTATTAAGATATGAATTTCTCTTCATTTCACAAGAATTATATAAGATTGTACATTTTTAAGAGAAATAAAGTATTTCTTTTAATTATTGTGCAAACAAACATTTTGAGCTTCAGAGAAAACTTTGTTCTCTTCTAAAATTGTTGAAGAAATAAAACATAAGCAAATTTAAACTATTGCTTTGAATGTTTTGATATTGAAAACCAAAAACGTGATGAAGAAAAAAAATTAAAGTTTGAATGGTTCAGAAAAAGCAAATGGAACTCTAGAAATATCAAGCTTATTTTTATATTCACAGTCTTTTCTAAAATACCTTATTTGATATTCTTTTCCTGTGGTATCACCTAACTCTTTCAAATTAATATCAAAATAACGTTGAAGATTACCTTCACCAAAAATAGTGTGCTGCAATCCAATCATATAGTTATCTTTCATACTAAGACATGAAGCCTCAAACATACCAATAAAATCTCCATCTTCTGCTGGTAAACTGATTGATACTAAAATTTCTGGGTCTTGTTGTTTTCTTTCTACTTTAACTGTAAAATCATTATCAACAGGTTTTTCAGCAAAATATTTTCCAACAAAATATTTTGAAACTTCACAAACACGAGTATAAACAGCAAATCTAGTCATTCCAGAATATGTACAAATACGTATATCATAATATCCAGCTGGAACATCAGCATTAAATGCGTAAGTAGATTGACTTTCTTTTACATATTCATAAGTAATATAATTTTTATCGTCCTTTCGTTTATGTGCATAAAGACCAATGATAATATAAGAATTATTAAGTTGAGTTGGTTCAGTCCAATTAACGGTAACATTAAACTTTCTAGGATCAGACTTAGAAGGAGTATTTGTAATTTCTAATTTATTTTCAAAAGCTTCTTTTAAATCCATTATGATTAATTTTATTTCAAAGTTCTTTTATATCTTTTTTTCAAACCTCATCGAGTTAGTACTTTCTTATTGTTCTAATAAATTTCTTATATATTACAACTTTTTTAATTAAAAATTAAAGTCATTCTAAAAATATAACTGACTTTTCAGAAAAACAAAAATAGTATTAATAACAAAAAACTCTTTATCAATTAATTATGCAGCAAACATCTGATCCCTTTCAAGACCCAATTAACCCAATAGTATTTTTTGATATTTCTGTTGGAGATAGACTAATTGGTAGGATAAAATTTGAGTTATTTAGAGAGATATGTCCTAAAACAGTAGAAAATTTTAGACAGATGTGTACTGGTCAATTTATTTATAATGGAAAACCTACTGGGTATAAAGGGAGTTGCTTTTATAGAGTAATAAAAAATACTGTTATTCAAGGAGGGGATATAGTCAATGTTTGTTTTTTATAATTAAGAATAATTAAAGTTGCATTAATAATAAATATAAATAATAGGGAAATGGTACTGGTAGTATTTCAATTTATGGAGAATATTTTGATGATGAAAATTTCGATTTAAAACATTCTGCACCAGGATTATTAGCAATGGTTAATTCAGGACCAAATACTAATGGATGTCAATTTATGATAACATGTTCTTCAATAAAAGAATTTAATAATAAATATGTTATCTTTGGACAAGTTATAGAAGGAATGAAAATTGTTAGAATGATAGAAAATGTTGCTGTAGATGAAAAGTATCAACCTAAAATTCAGTGTGTCATTTCTGAATGTGGTCAAATGTAAACATTCAATTATTTACATCTTTTTTAATTTTTTTAATTCTTCTTTAGCATTTAAAATTTGTTTTTTTAATTCTTCATTTTCTTTTTGTTTTAATTGGTAAGTTTCAATAATCTGCTTTGCTTTTTCATTAAATTTTTTAATTTCTTCAATATTTATTTCTAAGTAATGTAATTCTTCATATTTTTTATTTTTATGTGCTAACACTACCTGAGTTAATTCTGTTAGTAATTCTTCGCTTATATTTTGAGTATCAAAAGTTGTCATATCTCAAATTCAAAGTTTACTTAATGTTAGTTTAGTTAGTGAATGTTTTTATGAATTAAGTTAAATTATGTTACATATAACATAAAATTAAATTTATTCATAAAAAACATAGAAAATTCATCATCGTCAATACAAAATATTAAAAAGAAGTTAAACTAAAATTAATCAAATGAATAAAAAAAAAATAATTTGTTAAAAGAAAAAAAAAAACAAAGAAGAAAGAACTTAAAAAATTAAATGAGAACTTTCTTCTTCCTATTATTTGCTCTTTATTGTTTTGCTACTAATCCAAAAACAGAAATGAAAAGTGAAGAGTTTGTTCTTGGTGAATGGACATTTGAATATTACATGGGAGATTATGAAAATCCAAGTGATATTCTTACATACAATATAACTACTATTGATGGAGTTATATCTATTTCTCCTATTATAGATGGAGTACAAGAAGATCCAATTGGAAGAATTGAAACAGAAGGAAGTTCAATGACAGTTTTTATTAATGAGAATGTTCTTTTCAGTGCAGATTTTGAGGAAACATCAGCATTAGGAGTATATCAATCAACAGTTGAATTTGAAAATGATACATATGAAGTTATTATTCCACATCCAAAATTCCCTAAATTCATTGTTAGTACTTATGGACAATCAGGAAAGAGATTAATTGTTGGTAAGAGAACTGTTATTATTCCACCAAAGACTTTCTTCCAAAAGTATGGAATGTTTATTATGATTGGTGTTTTAATCTTAACATTCTTCTTCAAAGGTAATTCTGGACCTGAACCACAACAAGCTGCTGCACCAGTTGCTGAAAAACCAAAAACAGAATAAATTAAAATTTATGATTAAATTTTTTATTTGTTTGTTTTAATTTTTTAGTTTAAATAAATTTCTTTTATGATATCTATTTGTTTATTAAAAAAATATTTTCATTATTTATCTAACTAAATTCATTGTTTTTATTCTTTTTTTTTTATTTGAGAATCAGTTTTTATATTTTTTAAATAAAATAATAAAAAAAGGTCAATTAATTGATAATATCCATAATTGAATTTTCTTCATATTGAGAAGTGTTTATTTCAGTTTCTTCAATATGGTTTATGTCTGAAAGAAAGTTTATTTCTAATATTTTATATTCTTAAAATGAAATAAATAAATAAAATATCAAAATTTAAAAGAGAAGAAGTAATAAATTATTAATAAATCAATAAAAATATATTTAAATTACAAAAAAATAAATTTACTGTTTATATTTTTAATTAATATTACTTTGTTAAATGATGTTTAAGTGAAATAGAAATTATAAATTTGAATTTAATTATTATGTTCATCAATAACAATAACTTCTTTATGTCTTGGTAATGGTTTATATCCATATTTTAGATAATTCACAATATTTTGGTGAGGAACAATTTGTTTTGAACTAAACAAAGCAAAAAAGAATGATACTATAAATGAACAAAGAATCATTGTTAATGCTACAATAACTGTTGTTAAATCAGTTGTAATTCCATAAAAGACAGTAAATAAACAAAATAATATTGAAGGAGAACTTAATAAAATCATTAACCAAGTTGGTCCAGCTTTAAATGGACGATCCAAATAAGGAAATCTAATTCTTAATACAAAGAATGTAATAAAATCACCAATTAAAAATAATGCACTTAATGCACTTGATACTCCAACTAATTGATTAAAAGTAGTTGTAAATGCAAAACATATAGTAATTATCATTGTTAATAATATAGAAGTATCAGGTGTTCCAAAATATTTATTATTTCTTCCAAATACTTTCTTAATAAAATCATTAATTCCTAAATTAGCAATTCCTTGAAGTCTTCGTGCAGTAAAACACATTCCATTTAATAATAGTCCTGTTGAAGTTAATAAAGCTCCAATGAATAAAAGCCATGAAACTATTTTCCCCCAAATACCCGCTTGTAATAATTCACTTACATGAATAAATGAACCTTCTTTCCAATTTGGCCATTGATAATCTAATCCAACTCCTGCCATTAATGGTGTTGCAGTACTAAATGAAGTTAAAACGACTAATAAAAATAATGACAATGGTATATTTCTTGTTGGATTCTTTACTTCTTCAATAACATTTGCAGCATTTTCAACACCATTTAAATTCCAAAATATTACACTAAAAAAAGTAGAAAAATCTATATGATTATAAGGTAAATATGTTGATAAATTCCTCCAATTCATAAATGGTATTGCAGTAAAAATAAAAAGAATAAATGGAAGTATAACCATTATAATAATCATTATTGAAACAACTCCAACACATTTAACTCCAATAAAATTTATAAATGATCCAAATAAAATAATACAAATTTTCATTAAATATTGATAACCATTTGGTGTTATAAATTTTTGTGAAACATAACTAACAAATAATGTTGGATATACTGCACAATCTAAACATGTTGAAAATAATGATAAACATGTAACAAATGGTGTTATAAATTGTCCAAAACTTCCATATGCACTTGAATACCATGTAATATATCCTGCATTAGATGGAATTGAAAGTGACATTTCTGCTGTAAATAAACACATTGGAAATTGAACAAAAAATGGTAATAAATACATTAAAATAATTCCATATAAAGGTCCTATACTTGATATAATTGGTTCTGTTCCATACGCACCTCCAATACAAGATACATACATCATTGCTAATAATGAAATTACTCCTAATTCTCTTTTTGGTAAAACTACTTGTTCATTCATTGTTTTTTTTTTAATATTACATTTTCAGTTCTCTTTAATTATTTTTATTGAACTTAAAAACAATAATCTTTCAATTATTTAATTCAAAAAGTATTTGTTTTTTTTCTTCTATTTCTTGTTTTAATAAATCTAATTTTCTTCGTTGACTTGTAGTTTCAATGTCATATTGTTGTTGTTCATTTTTTAATTCGCTGATATATTCTTCAAATAATTTATTTGACTCTTGAAATTCTTGAAGTCTATTTCTTAATACTTGGATTTGTTGTAAATATTCTGAAATTTCAAACTAATCAATAAGTTTATATTTCATTTTAAATAAAATCAGTACTAAAAGAAACAACCAAACATTGTCAGGTTGATAATAACTTTCCATTAAATAAATTCTTAGATTCTCTTGTGATAAACATCATCTTCTCCTTTTTTTATTAAATAACAAAAATAAAAACAAAACCCTAATAAAATGTTTTTTATTTTATAAATTTTGAATAAAAGAACCCTAGATCTTTCTTTAATTTTCAAGTAGTGATGGCTAGGGGTCTTCATGCTGCTCGTAAAATGCTTGCTCAAAGAAGAGCTAATAAATGGGCTGATAAAGAATGGAAAAAAGGAAAGCTTGTTACCAGATATAAGTGTAATCCACTTGGAACTGCTTCACATGCCAAAGGACTTGTTCAAGAAAAACTTGGTATTGAAACCAAACAACCAAACTCAGGTATTAGAAAGTGTGTCAGAGTTAGATTATTGAAGAATGGTAAAAAAATCACTGCTTTTGTTCCACGTGATGGTTCACTTAACTATGTCAATGAAAACGATGAAGTTTTAATTTCTGGTTTCGGTAGAAGAGGACATGCTGTCGGAGATATTCCAGGTGTTAGATTCAAAGTTGTTTGTGTTGCTGGTGTTTCTCTTTGGGGTCTTTGGACTAATAAAAAACAAAAACCACATGCTTAAGTAAAAGTGTTTTGTTATTTGTTTTATTTATTTTTTAATGTGTATTCAACAATAAAAACAATCAAATAATGTTCAAATCAATGATTAAAGAAACTTAAAAGATCCTTGAAAGCATTCACATAAGCCTCTAAGATATTGAAAGAAATGTTTACCCATAAAATTTTTGTATGAATGGTATTATTGAAGAGAGACAATACTAAAACCAAAAAAGCAAAGACTACTGCTAAAGTAACTACGCTCTTTCTACCTAATTCAAAAAATAATACTAACCTAATTCCTACACTTGCATCTGTTTCATAAGTACTTTTTTATTTAACAAATAATAATAAACAACATACACAAAATAATTAATTGGATATTAAAAAATATAAATGTAGTTTTTTATAAAATGATATTTGCTTCTTAAAAACAGAGAAAAATATTAATATCATAATCAATTGAATTAAGATCTGTATCTCTTAAGTTGAAGAAGGTTTCTTCTCTTCAAATTACCACGAGCACCAGCACCAATCTTGTTATATCTTCTTCCCTTACCGGTGAATCCTCTTGACTTCTTAGCAGCTGAAGTAAGTCCTCTAGCTTCTCTTCTCTTTTGTTTATCAGCACAAATCCAATTCATCTTTGGATCGTTTCTAATGGCAGCATTAAATGGATCAACAAGAATAACTTCAAAGAATCTGTAAGTTGAATCTTGTCCAATGAAGTAGGAATTGAGAACTCTAAGAGCTCCACAGTGTTTTCCAACTCTTTGTTCTGCAATGGCTTGAAGTGATTTAACTCTCTTAATCTTATGAATACCTTGGCAAGCTGGTTTTCTGTGAACAATACCTTTTCTAGCACTAACCTTTCTGTTTCCTCTGTGAATTCTAACTGAGTAAATAACAAATCCAGATTTTGGTTTATATCCTAATCTTCTAGCTCTTTCTGGGTTAGTTGGGCGTGCAACACGGTGAATTCTTGGGAGATGTCTTAATTCCCAGCATCTAATACGTCTAAGGAATCTCAAGACATCACTTTGTTTCTTTCTATTAAGGGCGTTGATGTATTTATAAGCTCCCATCGATCCGAGTTCTACTTACTTTAGTTTTTAGGTTTTATAGTTCCTTATACTAGGGTTGTTATTATTCTTTTTTTTATACTTTTTACTATTTCTCAATTCTGTCTGTTCTTCCTTAATACTCTTTTCTTCCTGTTTTTATCCTTTATTCTTATCAATTTTATCTATTTCAAATTTTAGCCATTTTTTCTCAATTTTCCAGTCTTATTCTTATGACTTTTTCAATTACTCTTTTCTCTCTCAAATCATTACTTACTCTTTCAAAAATCATCTCATTAATTAACTCATCTTTATTTTGAATGGATGACACTAATGCTACAAAGAGAAAACGTTTACAGCCAGTAAGTCTTGGTAATGATTTAAACATAAATACAAATGGATGTTCAATTGAAACACAACAACAACAACCAAGCACATCAAAGAGTTTTCAACAAATAATAGAAGAAGTTGCAAATGATACTAAACAACATTTAAAACAATTTGTTGAAGAAAAAGAAGAAAAAAAAGAAATGAAAGAATTAATGGAAGAAGATATTGATAATAATAAAATGGAAGAAGAAGATGTTAATATCCAACAAAAGGCTGCTAAAATTGCTCGTGAATACGAAACTTGGAAGTCAAATGCTATTTATCTTTATTCATTTTTAACTACTTATGAAACGTCATTTCCTTATAGCACTACATTTGATTGGGGAAATATTGTAGATAGAAATAATAATGTTGCCAAACAAGAGTTTGTTTATGGAACTAATGGAGAAAATGCATTTGTAATTAAAGCTTTTACTTCTATTCCATTAGGAACAGTCAAACCATCTCCATTTGTAGATGGAATGGTTGGTGAATTTGATTGTGATGATCGTATTGATGAAATTGCACTAGTTTCACATTCAGGAGATGTAAGAAGAATAAGAACAATGCCACAAGACAAAAACGTTTGTGTAACAACATCTTCAGATGGGAATTGTTATATCTATAACTTTAATGAAACTAATCCACAACCTTGCAAACGTACTGCTGGAGGTGGATTTGGTATTTGTTGGTCAAATCTTCTTTTAGGGACATTTACAGTATGTGAAGAAGGGAATCTTCACATATTTAATACAGAAGTACCAGAAGGTATTTCAATAAAGAATATACATGACTCTATAAATGATGTATGTTGGAATAGTCAAAGTGAAATTATGTTATCTGTTGGAGAAGATGGGAGAGCATTAATTACAGATTATCGTACATTAAAGACTGAGATAGAATTTAAAGAGACACATGAAGGAGATGCTAATGCATGTTCATTTGATCCAAATTATTCAACATTGTTTATTACTGGAGGGGGAATTGATGGGTTTGTTAGATTTTGGGATATGAGAAAACCAAATCAAGAACTTTGTCATCTGTTTGGTCCACAAGATGGAATTAATTGTTGTTGCCTTAGTACTATTAATAAAGGATTTGTATGTACAGCATCTAAAGATCATATGGTACGAATCTATGATATGAGCAAAGTAGGAGAAGATCAAACATCGAATGATGCTGATGATGGAGGGTCAGAATTTTTATTTGGACATTCTGGACATTTGAATGAAGTGTTTGATGCTTTATGGAATCCAGAAATACCATATGTAATTGGTACATCTGGGGATGGAAGAGATATTCAATTTTGGAAACCAATGGAAAGCTTAATGAAAGAAGATAGAACTATTCTCAAACCACAATTTTTGAAACTTTGAATGACTTAATTTATTCTTTATTCTCTATGAAAAGTTTTATTTTGAATGTTAAATTAATTTTTATAACAATAACCAACAAATACACAAATACAAGAGGTAATGTCATGAAAAATATCAATATGTTACAATAAAAATAAAGAGTCAATCATCTTGAAATGATGTAATAAACTTAAATAGAAATAGCAAATAATTAAATTAACAACAAGAATTATTGATGGTAATAAAAGAATATTAATAACAACAAACTTACTATTTCAGTAAATTAACAAAATGAATTTAAAAATGATATATTAATGAATTACTAATATAAATATGAAATAGAAACAATTTTAAAAGATAAAGGTATTAAAAAAATTCAATTAAGTGAAGGTATTAAGACAAATGTTAATATAGAAAATAGTATTGAAAGTAATTTTGTCTTTAAGATAATTTATAAATTAGTTATGGTAATGTAAGTGAAGTTATAAATTATTAATTAAAATAAACAAAATTCAATTTATAAAATAAGAAAATGTAGTGTTAATTACTATTAATTATCTTGAAAAATAAAAAAAAATAGAACAAAAAGGATTAGAATTTAATTCTTCTTGGATTCAGCAAGAATTTTAGCATACTTGTCCATTGGTGATTGTTTAACTCCTCCAACTTTCCATAAGTCTTTTGTTTGGAATCCATATGATTGTCTAACAGCATCATAAGTAGCTTTGACAAAGTTACCAAGAGTCTTAGTATGTCCAGTGGTTTGAGTGAAAACATCTTCAATACCTGCAAGAATTAAGAATTTCTTTGGTGTTGGTGCTGCAACAATACCAGTTCCTCTTGGAGCTGGAACAAGTCTGACACGAACTGAACCACAAGCACCAGTAAGTTTGCATGGAACTGTGTGAACTTCTCCAATGGTAGCTCCCCAATATCCTCTTCTAACTGGAACCATAGCTAATTTAGCTTGGATCATAGCTCCTTTAATAGCTTCAGCAACTTCTTTAGCACATTTAACTCCAAGTCCAGCATGACCGTTGTGATCTCCAATAGCAACATATGCCTTTAATCTGGTTCTTTGACCGGCAGAAGTTTGTTTTTGGACTGATTGCATAGTCATAACTTCTTCTTTAAGACCTGGAAGAAGATGATCAACAATTTGATATTCCTTAATTTTAATACCAAATTCAAAGATTTGGTCAATGCTCTTGACCTTTCCGTCTTTAACTAATCTTCCAAGCTTGGTAACTGGTGTCCATCCATCTGAGGCTCCATCTTTTCTAGCTCCTCTTCCTCTTGGTGCTCCTCTTCCTCCTCTTCTATTTCCGAATTGTCTCTTTTCACCACGTTGTTGCTTGGCGTCCATTCCGGTTATCTTCTTTTTTCTGTTTTTACCTTTTTATATTTTAGGGTTTTCTTTTTTTTTATCTATTATTTTGATACTATTATCTTCTTATTAATCTTGTTCTATTCTTATGTTATATATAACATTTATATATAACATTTTTCTTTTAATTTTAAGTTCTGGGGATTATCAGAATTTTGAAACAATTTACTCTTAATAGTAAAAAAAACTATTTAATGAGAATTAATGAATTAAAAAACAAAAACGTCATTCTAAAAATGGAATGAGAGAAAATGAGAACTATTTAAAACGAAGATAAAACAACTAGATAAATAGAAATGACACAACAAATTGATGAAGCCGTATTGTCAAGACAATTATTTACTATTGGAAAAGATGCTCAAATTAAAATGATGAATACAAAAGTATTAATTGCAGGATTAAATGGAATGGGTGCTGAAATTACAAAGAATGTATTATTAATGTCTGTTAAATCAGTTGGATTATTAGATAATAGAAATGCATGTTTAGCTGATTTAGGAACAAACTTCTTTTTAAGAAAAGAACATATTGGACATTGTATTAGTGAATCAACATATAAACAATTCCAAGAATTAAACAATAATGTTCCTGTTAGAGTAGAAAAACGAGAATTAACAGATGAAACATTATATAATGATTATGATATTATTGTTCTTTGTTATTTACTTTCTGAAAAACAGTCTATTTATATTAATGAATTATGTAGAAAACATAATGTTAAAATGGTTTATGCTGTTAATAGAGGACCATTTACAATGATCTTTAATGATTTTGGAGATAATTTTGTTGTTTTTGATTCAAATGGTGAGACACCATTAACTTATATTGTTAATGAAGTTGTTGGAAACACTATTCAATTTATTGATGAAAATTTCTGTACATTAGATGTTGGAAATGAAGTTCAACTTGATGAATTTAGTGGATTACCTGGATTGAATTATTCAGAAAATGGAGGAAAAACATTTAAAATTACTAAAAGAACAGCATATTCAATTGAGATTGGAGACTTAAGTCAATATGGTAAATACATTAAAGGAGGAAAAGTTACAGAAGTTAAACCTACTGTTACATTACATTATAAACCATTAAAAGAAAGACTAAATGAACCAGGAGAAATTACATTTACTAATATGTCTAAAATGGAAAGACTAAGAGGTTATCAAACATTATATCATGGATTAATGATATTTATGGATAAATATGGAAGAAGTCCAAAAAGTCATGATGAAGAAGATTATAAACAATTTAAGAGTATTGTTGAAGAACTTCACATTGACTTAGATGAAAATATTATTAAGATTTTCTGTTATTGTAACAATGGATTTTTCTCACCATTAGACACAGCATTTGGAGGAATTGCAGCTCAAGAAGTATTAAAAGCAGCATCAGGAAAATATACACCATATTGTCAATATATGTTTTATGATTGTCTTGAAATTCTTCCAGACAATTATTTAGAATTACCAAAAGAAGAATTTAAGGATAATGGAAGATATTCAGGACAAATTGATATTATAGGTAAAACTGTTCAACAAAAGATAGAAGATTTATCAATTTTCCTTGTTGGATCAGGAGCTATTGGATGTGAAGTATTGAAGACATGGGCAATGATGGGATTGAGTAGTGGAAAAGGGTTGATTCATATCACAGATAATGACAATATTGAAAAGTCCAATTTGTCAAGACAATTCTTGTTCAGAAACAATAACATCAATCAATCAAAATCGAAAGTTGCAAGTGAAGCAGTTAAAATAATGAATCCAGAAATTCATATCAAGGATTATCAACTTCGAGTTGGAGAAGCTACAGAAAACATTTTTACTAAAAACTTCTTCAAGTCATTAAGTGCTGTTACTACAGCATTGGATAATGTACAAGCTAGAATGTATTGTGATGCACAATGTGTCAAATATGGACTTGCTATGATTGAAGGAGGAACAACAGGAACTAAAGGAAATACACAAAGTATTATTCCACATATCACACAATCATATTCTACAGGATCAGTTAGAGACCCAGAAGAAAAAAGTATTCCAATGTGTACACTTCATAATTTCCCCAATGAAATTGATCATACAATTCAATGGGCAAGAGATAGATTTGAAGGATTCTTTAAAACAGAAATTGAACCAGTCAAAAATTATAAGGAACAAGGAGAAAGTTATTTAGAATCATTAAAGAAAGAAAGTCCATTAGTTTTATTAGAAAATTTAAAATTGATTGTAGAAAATGGAGTCAGTAAAGTTCCACATAGTTTAAAAGATTGTATTGCATGGGCAAGAGAGAAATATGATATAAACTTTGTTAACACGATTCAAAAACTTATTACTAATTTCCCAGAAAATACAATTACAGATGAAGGAATACCATTTTGGCATGCACCAAAAAGATTCCCACATATTTATCCATTTAATATTGATAATCAATATGCAAAAGAATTTATTATTTCAGCATCACTTCTTCGAGCAGAAATATATGGGATTAAAAATGAATTGAGTAAAGAAGAAATTATTAAATATGCATATTCATTAAAAGAATATACAAGTGAAGAAAAGAAAACAGAAGAACCAGAAGCTGAAATTAAACAACTTAGTGAAGAAATAAAAGGAAAAGAAATTCCAAAAGTTAATCCAATAGAATTTGAAAAGGATGATGATAATAATCATCATATTGAATTTATAACAGCATGTAGTAATTTAAGAGCAGAGAATTATTGTATTAAACCAGCAGATTTCTTAAAAACAAAGTTAATTGCAGGAAAAATTATACCAGCAATGATTACTACTACAGCTGTAGTATCTGGATTACAATGTATTGAATTATTGAAGGTTATTGAAAAGAAACCATTAGAAGCATATCATTGTTCATTCTTAAATTTAGCTATAGGATATATGGATGCTACTGAACCAGAAGCAGTGAAAAAGACAAAAATTTGTGATGGACTTGAAGTATCTATTTGGGATAAATTAGAATTTGATGGAAATTGTACAGTACAAGAATTATGTGATATTATATCAAAGAAATATCCAATTGAAATTGATTCTATCACTGTTGGTAATAAGTTATTCTATTGTTCATATCTTCCTAGTGGACAAGCTCGTTTATCCAAGAAGTTTACTGAAATTTATAAAGAGATGTATGGAGAAGACTTTAAGAATGAAACAATGACATTGTCTTTATCAGTTTGCTTAAATGACGGAAGCGACCTTCCTGATGGAGTTGAATTTCCAGATGTTCTTTTGAATTTCTAAGTCTAAATCTATTTCTCAATAATTCTTAATTTTCTGGTTTAAAATATTAACGTTAATTGTTTTTTTAATAAGCAAACTATAGTAAGAAATAAGTGAGTGTTAATTTACGAAATTCAGTTGTTAGACTTATAATTTTGGAACATGTCTACTCTCTTTGTTTGATTCTATTTTACTTCAAATGAGGAAGTGTAATTCATTGAAGTATTGGTATAGAATAACCATTAAAAGAAGATAAATAATTTTAATCAGACTGTACATTGTTTGAAATAAGGAACATGTGTATTTAATTGGAATATAACAACAGTTAAAAAGTTACAAAACAAACCAACATTCTTTAGTAAGAAATTAAAAGTGATAAGATATTGTTTTTTTTTATAAAGGGGAGTATTATTTCTCATTCAAACCATTACTTGTATTAAAACTCTTCTTAATCATCTCTATTATATAGATAAAGTTTACAACCAACGACACAAACTAAATAAAGTCAATTAAGTAGAAATAGAATTAGTTTCTATTGTGCTTGGTTGTAAAAAATTTAATTCTATCTTTTTGATGTTACCAATTAGTTCTATTTTGTATGTTTTGCTGTAATAAGACAATTTTCTATGGCATCTTTCATGTTTTTAATAACAATGTTTTTAATGTTTTTGATGTTGTTAATTTCATTTTTTTGTTCTTTGTTTAATTTACTTTTTCGGTATTTACAATATGCTCTTTGAAATAATGTTGACATTATTTATCATATTTTCTTTATTCTTACTTCGCTATTATATTTAACTAATTTATTCAAAGTCAATTCCTTTATTTTTTATCCTATTTCTTTGTTTTATTGTATTTTCATTTCTTATTGTTTGTTTATTTTTATTATTCTTTATATTCATTTCTTCTTATGCTTTAATTCTATTTCTCTATTTTTCAATGGTATAGTTTCATGCATTTTCTTATTCAATATTGTTGATGTTGTCATTATTGTTTATTTAGTGTCAGTGTATTTTCTGTTTTTATATGTCTTTTATTGTTAAACTTTTTTTATCTCATTGTTGGTTATTATTTGATATTATTCTTCTTGTTGTGTCTATTAATCCTTTTCTGCTTATTCTGGTTCTATTTCATCTTTTTGTTATTTAGTATTTGACATGATTTATATCTTCCTTTCTTCATTTTATCCTAATTATCTCATTGTTTTCAGATAACCTTATCATTATTTCTCCATTATTTATTCTTTCTCATTCTCATCTTTTGTTTTTAGTATTAGTTTTTCATCATTCTCACCAAAAGGAGATGAATGACAATAAACACAATAATATAAAAAAACCAATAACAAAAGAAAGAGAAATTCACATCGACCAAGGAATACAAATGATAGAATAATGAGTGAAATATGTATTATCTAGATAGATAGAGATACATTAGTCATCAGATTAAACATTATCATATTATAACTATTATCATAACAATCACAACACTGAAGCTATGAATCATTTCACTCATCATTTTATTTATTTTCATTATCATAAATACTTTAAACAATAATTTCAATACAAATAAACAGTATTATCATAATAAAACATAAAGAAGATATAAGCAATATCAAAATAAAGAACAAATAATAAATAAATAAAAAGAAATAGTAGAAATATAAAACTAAGAATATTTGAAAAGACTCTTTGAAGAAGGAATTAAAATATTTTCACCACAAGAAATAGAGAAATTAAGAAAACCAAGATTAAGATATAAATGATGATATTAATAATAAATGAAATTATACATAATAATATAATGATAATGAAATATTCATCATAAAATAAGAAATAAAGAAAGAAGAAGTTCATTAAAATTAAAATAAAAATCAAAGAAGAAGATAAAAAGAAGAAATAAACAGATAGAAGAAAGAAAAGACAATAATAAGTTGACATAAAATAAAATGATTTATTCATAAAACAAGAAGAAAGCCCAAATAATAAATAAAACAAAAAAAATTACTCATTTTAATGATGTATGATGTTATTAATATTTATTAATCATTGAATGAAGAACAGTTTTATTAACATTTAATTAAATGCTTTTGTTATATTCTCCACTTTGTATATTCTTTTTTATTTCTCTTATCTTTATATTTCAGTCTTCTTTTCTACTTCATTTATTCTTATTGCTTTCTTTTATTATTCTTATAAATTTCCATTTGACTCTTATAATATTCATATCCATGGCAATTTTTATTAATTTGTGGTTTCTCACTCATCTCAAGACTCACTTTTTGAATAACAACGAGTATAATAATACTTAAAATAAAAATATTTAGTCAATTACATTATGAGAAAATTCCCATTTCTTTTTTCTATCAGCTATTTCTACTTCTGCATCTTCTAATGCACGACGGGTGATTGGGTCTTGTTTGAATTGAGAAGCAGTCATACCACTAATAGAAGTTAATCCTAATTGACTTGAAAGGGCATTCAATTCACCGACCAATACCATAGATAATTCAAAAGTCCATGCTTTTGTTTTAACCATATTAAATGCATTTATAAAACTCATTTTATTATTTTGAATCAAATAAGCAATTAATAATGCAGGAGCTCTATTTCTTCCATCAAATGAATGAATAAGAACCTTTTCTCCTTTGGAATGAGCTAAGTTGATCAAGGCACAAACCTCTTTTACAAAAGGATTAATTGTATTATGGTATTTACTAATTGGCAACCTATAATATTCTCTTCCTTCTTCTTCTTCATTACTACACTCACAAGTACAATTAATAATTACATTAATACATTCACTATCTAGCCATGCCTGATTATTACTACTTTCTACTGATCCTAAATAAATATCTTTGGTAATTGAACAACCAACTCCAAAAGCTCTTTGCTTTTGTTCTTTGATTTTTTTAAATTCAATTAATCGTTGATATGAATCAATTTTCTTTTCTTCTACTTCCATTTTATTTTTTTCTTTTTGTAATTCAATTCGCATTTTTTCTCGTTCTTTTTGTTTGAATAATTTAAATTCTCTCTCTTGTTTTTCCTTAATTTCTTGTCCAATACTTTTATCTCCATCTTTCTTAGGTTTAATAACTATGAATTGAGTGATTGGTCGTTGCATCTTAGTTTGTTTTTAAGTTCTATTTCTTTTTCGTTTTAGCTGTTACATTCATTAAATTAAAAAACAACTTAGAAAAGTATTGAATTAAACTAATACTAAGAACTTAGTCACAAGCAAGATTTTTAACATATTCAATCACTTCTTTCTTTAACAACATTCCTTGGTGAGTATATTTACCTAAATTAGTAAAGTTTTCTGTCATCTTTTTACAATATTCTAAACTGTTCAAAGTAACTTCTTGATCACCATCTACAAATTCTATAGTTGATTTAGAATCAAAAGTATCCCCTTTAAATGTTATTTTATGTGCAGTTTCTATTCCACTTGTAATACCACAATGCATTTCTACTCCATGTGGTACTTGTGAATTATATTTCTTAAGATATGGAGCAAATGAATTTTCTACTGCTTCTTTAGCAAATGGTTTCATTTCTTCTAATTGACTAAATAACTCAATTTGGTCTTTTGGATAATATTTCTTGCCATTAGCTAATTCTACTAAAACTTCATTTTGATCCCAATACTCTCCTATAGGCCCCATCATAGCTACTGTCTCAAATGTTCTTGCTGCTTTTTTAATTAATTCTTTAGAAACAGGATATCCCATATTATATCCAGCAAGAACAACATCATTAGCAATAGTTGTCCCAATGAATGGAGTAGACATAGCAACCCATCTATGAATATACTTATCACAAAACTCTTTGCCAAGTTTATCTAATAAAATATAAGTAGTTAATCCTCCCATAGAATGTGAAACTAAAACTACTTTATTACCAGTATTTTCATAAGCTTTAATTATTAACTCTTTAACTTTTTCATAATATTCATCATGATGATAATACCTCCAATCATAAGGTGCAGAGAACAAATCAAATTCATCTTTATATCCAATTTTTTGTAATCCTTTTATAACTTCATGGAATGCACGAGAAAATGTCTTTAATGGGAATGATGGAGAGATAGTATCTACGGCATAAGTAGATCCAAATCTTGGAGGTTCTATTTGTACTCCTTCAACATTTTCCATTCTACCTGAAGTTGAATTATAATGACATGTTAAATAAGCAATATAACAATCATTGACATATGGAATTCCATCTAACAGATTTAGCCATAATGTGAACCAATCTTTAGATCTATCGCAATCAAGTTTTCTATCACAGAAGTCAACATTCTTAGGGATATTTATTTTAGCATTAAGCATTGAAGCCATAATTCCAGGAATAATAATAACTGGATGACGGGTACAGGTTTCTGCAATAGCAATAGATAAAGTCAAACAAAGAAAGAAAATGTTCATTTAAAGTCAATCCAATCACTAACTTTTTAAAGATTATCCAATTACTTCAGAGGGTTAATACTTCTTTTCTAAACAAAGAAAAAAAAAAACAATACAATTGCATTTTTTAAGAAAAAAAAGTAATAAAAGAAAAGAAGAAATTCTAACCAAAGTTACTTCATAATTACTTTTGATTTTTTCTTTTTTTTTAAACAAAAAAAAAGAATAAAATAAATAATTTAAAATTAAAATTCTTCTTATTGAACTTCTGGTTTTCTTATTTCCATGAAATGTTTAATGACTTCATCTGTCACTTTTTGTCTTTCTATTTGATGATTCATTACTAATTCTTGTAATTGATGAATTAAAATATTCTTAACATCTTGTGGCATCATTTGAGCACTTTCATAATCATTTTTAATTTTCTCTAATTGTTGGTCATCATTTAAGAAGAAACGAAGGTATTGATAAGGAACATCATCATCAACATTAGTTCCATTTTTCTTAAACTCTTCAATATCTTGAACACTACAATAAGCATGATTATTGATTTTATCTGCAATTTGTTGTGGTGTATCAATAAGATAGATTGCACTATTTGGATCTGAAGCAGACATTTTTCCCATTGATCCTTGAAGAGCTGGGAAGAATTTTGACATAATTAAACTAGGCTTATAAGCACCAAGAGATTCTGCATGGTCTCTAGTCATTCTAAAGTAAGGATCTTGATCTATGGCACAAGGAATTAAGCATCTTATTTTTTGTTTACCAAATAAATGAGGGAATGATTCAGGGAAAGCAGGTGCAGCCTGGATAGCAGGGAATGAAATTTTACCTAAATTATCATGAGGTTGAAATCCAAAAATTCCTTTAACTTGATTAAAAGTTACTCTTGATTGAATTTTAGTTACAACTGGATACATACGTTCCATATATGTATAATCAGTAAAAATAAATGTTTTCTTTGGATTTAAACCAGATGCAATAATATCTTTAATATTTTCAATAGCATATTTCTCTGTATCCGCAATAGTTACTGGTTTCCATAAATATTTTTCATCATCAGTTAACTGAACTACTAATTGACAATCAAATGCATCTTGAAGATATTTTGTAAAAATAAATGGTATTAAATGTCCTAGATGTAAAGCATCACTTGAAGGTCCTCTTCCAGTATATAAATATATTTTATTTCCTTTTTCAACATCATCTAAAACAGCGTTAATATCTCTATGACAAAAGAATAATCCTCTTCTTAACCACATATGAGGTTCTTTGTGTGTAATAGCTCCTATTCTTGCAATTTGTTCTTGTGTTAATAGTTCTGCATTAAAATCTTTAACAAGTTTATTATAGTCAACTAATCCACTAACATTATAAGGAGTAACTATTTGTTTTTCAACTGTTTCAGTCATATTAATTAAGTCTTTTTTTATTTTTTTAGGGTTTTTATTTTTTTATTTTTTTTTAAATGAAAATTTAAATATTTAATTATGTTATACATATCAGTAATTAATGATTCTCAAAATAAATTTCTGATAATTTTCGTTTTAATTCCTTAAGTATTTGTTCTTTTGTTTCTACAATGTCAGTCTTTATCTTATTAATTAAACTTTTTCTTTTTAATTATTTAACAAACTGAAATTAAATCTCGTTAAAGCACCTATTATTGCATTATTTTTTAAAATTGGCTCCATATTACCAAAACCATAAATTGAAACGCATAACATAAACTCATCAACAAGTCCATCTGTCCATAATCCATTTCTTCTATGGTTAATTTTTAAAGAGACTCCTTGACTTTTTTCTTTAACATATTTTTGAATGTACTCCACAAAATTTAAATGATTTTTCAATTGAGGAAATTTGTAAGTACAATATTTCATTGTTTCATAACTTAATGTATTTAGGATTTCTAACGGTACATGTGAAAGAAGAATTGAATTTCTTTTTAATGTACTTGGGTTTAATCCAAAATAATAAATGAGTTTAATAAATTCTTTTGTAACAGTAGGAGTATCTAAATAAATTTTAGTTCTTATAGATTCATTTTTAATAATTATAGTAATAAAATCCATAAGTTTTGTTCGTTCATAAATTAAGTTTGTTACTGCATTTGTTTCTTGAAGATTTTCTACAGTTGTTTTATGGGATTGATCAACTTTGATAGTTTTGTATTTTGTTAAATCACTCGACGTATCAAGTTGTTTTTGTAGTATTTCATAAGGATAATCTAAAGTTACTGAAAATGGATTTGCTTTTCTGGTTTTGTCAATTGATGGGTTTTGGATAGTAGGAAGTAATACATTATTTGTTGCTGGCATAGTTATTTGTCTTAACATTACATTTGACTTACTTTTTGTTAGAGGTTGGGTTGAATTAACATTTCTATTACCTGTTATAGCTCTTACAGAATCTGACTTTTTATATACATCATTATTATTTGGTTGAATTGTTATTGGGATAGTTCTTTTTGTTGGAACTCTTAAAGGTAATGGAATTGATAATAAACTATCATCTATTTTTTTAAGTTTATTAGTAGGTGAAAGATAAAAGTGTTTTTGTTTAATAGAAGATTCTACTGTAGGTTGAGGATTAGTACTAATTTTTTTATCTCTTTGTGAAGTAATATCTGTAGCAGAATGATTATAGCCATGTATTTTCATAGTGTTATTATCTAACTTTTTTGTTAGTGATTGTTTCTGAGTACTTCTGCTTAAACTCTTTGTTAGTATTTGTTTCACAATACTATGACCTGAATTTTCTGTTGGTAATTTTTTCATATTGTTATTACCTAAATTTTCTTTTGGTGGTAGTACTTTGGTAATAGGAGGTAATAAAGAAGTATTTGGTTCTGATTCATTAGTTTTGAATAAATTAATTGGATTTATTTTCTGAGAATTATTCTTTTTATAAAGAAGATTTATATAAAATTCTGTTTGAGACTTATATCTCTTTTCATCAAAAGGAAATTTAGATTTAATTCTATCAACAATGTCACTAAGAATAAAAAGACTATTCTCTTTAAAACCTGATTCTCTGTTTATTAAATTATTTAATTCTATTGGGCTTTGTAAATATGAAATTTCATCATTAATTCGTTGACATATTTTCATCATTTCAATAGAATTAAATCTCTTGGGAGTAATTTCTTTTGTTTTTACATATTTAAGATAATCATTATAATCTTTTTTTTCAAAGATAACTGAATATCCATAGAATGATTTATCAGGAATTAACTCAATACTAAGTGTCTTTCTATTTAGTCCTAAAGAATTTTTTAGCCAAGAAGTAGGTTTTTTATAACTACCATATTTAATAAATAAATCAACATTTTCAAAGCCATAAAAAAGTACAGATTCAAAATCAATAACTAATGTACCACTTTTTTCTTTTTTAAAATCTGATGCATTTTGTTTATTAGTTAATGTTTTATGTAATGAAATAATAAAGTTATGAGGAATGTCTTCAATCAGATTTGATGAAGACACAATAATAATTTTTTTATCATTAAACAATTGAAAGAGTGTATCAAGAAAGTAACGAGATGATGATGGAAGAGTATTTGGACAAACAGAATTATTTCCAATATATGATGAAGATTCATTTAATAAATAAATAATATCAGATTGACTAAATTCTTTTTCATAATTTAAAATAGTCTTTATTTCTATTTCTTGATGATATGCAATAGGAATAATAATTGTAATTAAAGGACTTGTACAAAATGAATCAACATCAGTTGGAGGGAGTAGGTTCTTTGTATTTAGTAAACAATTCCAATAAATAATACCACTTGTAGTATAAAATGTTTCTTCAGGTATTCCACATTGAAAGACTATATCAAATTTCATTAGCCATTCTCTTGGTATTAAATTACTATATTCAAATATTGCAATATCACAATAAGGAACAAAATCATTTGTAAATATTGATTTAGTAATAAAATAACTAGAAGAGTTCATTGAAAATGAATCAGTGGATAATGTTGAATGAATATTAATTGGAATATAACTATCTTGGATACGAGAATTTTTATTAAAGTATTGATAATAACTCTTATATAATTCTGAAGAACATAAAACAGCAATTGGTTGGTTATGATGATAAAATCGTAATAATTGAAGAAAATGATTTATGAATTGTGACCCATTGTCTAGTTTACTTACAAGATAGCACTTTTTTGTTTTTTGTAATTGTTTAATAACGAATTTATCAAATTTTTGTGTTATAGAACATAGATTGTGTGGTAATACTAATTCTTTTGTCTTTTCATAACCAGATAATTCCATTCGTTTTAAATATAATTTTAATTGAGAATCAAATTCTTTCTGAACCATACCAGATGATTTAAACTCAGAAATAACTGAATCTTTTTCACGTAAAATAATATTATACCCAATAACTTTATTTTCAATAAAGACTGTGTCAATAATTCTTATTTTTTTTATAGAAGAATCTAATAGAGGTTGTTCAGAATTTGGTTGTTTTGTCAAAAGAGGGTTTGATATGACTTGTGAAGAAAATACATAAAACTCTTTTACATTTCCTTCTATTGGAGAAATACTTACTAGAAAAATATCTTCACTAATATTTTCTTTTTTATGCATTATAATACAACCAGTATAAATGTCTAATACATTCACAACATTATCTAAAAAATTAAGATCGACTTTTTTGATAACTCTATCAATCTTAATCATAAAAATAAAGATTGAAGATTTATTTTTATCAATTTTTTTTATAAAAAAAAAAACTCAAATTTTTTGTTTCTTTTTTGAATAATAAATAATTTAATTATAATAAACTAGTATTTTTTTATAATTTTAAACTTTTCTTTTAAAAAACAATTTCATTCAATTTATATATTATTTTTGTTATTGTATCATCTTTGTTGTTGATTCTTTCTAATCGTTCAATACATTCTTGTTTTATTTCAAATAATTTCAATAATAAATTTTCATCACTAATATTAGTTGGTTCAGTCTTTTCTTTTAATTGTCCACCAAGTTTTTTAGCATGAGCAAGAATAACCAAATGGTTTTTAAAATCATCCAATTCTAATTCAACAAGATATTTATTAAGAAAATTATGTTTTTCATCTGTTTCAAAGATTTTATCACCAAATATATTAGAATAATCCAATTCGTCTTTTATTAAACATAATTTTTTCCAATCAGATATAAGACTCATTTTATTTAATCCATTAATAAATGCCTTTAATTTTAATAAAATGATATTTATATCATCCTGTCCATATTTTTTATAAGATTTAATCATAACTTCTTTTATATCTTCGTGATTTTGATTAATCTCAAAACGATACATTAAATGTTCTTGAATAAAATCATTGTTATCAATATATTTTATATTTCCTATATATTTTCCTGTAGGGTTTGCCCCTCTTTGAAGAAGAGATTTAATAAGAAGACTATTATTTTCATTATACATTGCAATATCAAGAGCAGTTTCACCATAAATTGTTTTAACATTAATTTGTTCTAAAGATAAATGCATTAAATTAAAAATCATTTGTTTATAAGTCTTTGAAAATTTACATGTAGTTAAAAAATGTAATGCAGTTTTATTTTCGATTCTAGTTTGAGCTGCTATAAGATTATTAATCCCACAAGTTAATAAAAATAATGTACATTCCAAATGATTATTTTCTATTGAATACATTAAAGGAGTAAAACCAAGCATATTTTGTTTAACAGTATAAATTGTAGGTGAATATGAATTTATTAATCCCACAATTTGTTTAAGAATATTAACATGACAATTTTTACTTGCTATATGAAGTAATGTATCACCTGTTGTAATATCAAAATACTCTAAAATAGCTCTATGGTTTGAACTAACTAAATCATTAAATAACAAATCATCTCCTTGCTCAACTGTTCTTTTTATAAACATATTAAGAAATGGTTCTTTTGTTAATTTCTTTTCAAATTCATTTAATTCTTCTCCTCCAATATCATCAACTTCTTTTTTTGAAACAGAAAATTTATGAGTATATTCATTTCCTTCTTTTTCAATTTCATTTTGTTTAATAACACCAATACATTTAGAATTAGAATTAATTGAAGTCATTAAATTATTATTTTTTAGATATTTAAATTAAAAATTTATATTAATAAAAAACATATGAAAGAAAAGAAATAATTTTATTAATTAAATTGTACATGTTATTTACTCACAACAGCTTCAATCTTCATTGTTTTCTTCCAAAATGAATGATATTTTTTCCAAAGGTTTTCAACATCTCCTTTTGCTTTATTAATTTTCTTTTTATCTTCTTTACTTATTTCTTTATTTCTTGTTGGTTCAACATTAATACTTTTCTCAAATAATTTATCTTCATTTTCTTCAAATTCAAATTGTTCAATAAGTTCTTTTAGATTTTTACAATAAT